ATGGTGGAGGAAAATTTGAAGGGAATTACCTGCTTTCATGACCTGTTATCCTCAAGGGTACTTAAGTTATCAAGGTTTATATAGGATGCTCAAGAGTTGGAAAGTATTTCCAAGAGATGTTATTTCTATTCCTGATTCTGCTACCATTCCAAAATAAGACCCTAGAAACTTGTTTCTTTTGGTAGGGAACATAGTGTCAATATTTTCACGTATTATTTCTTGCCTTTTGTCTTCCACATAGGTTGTCCTTTTGAAGTACAGACAGAGCTTACTGGCAGTGGAGTCTACAGTAGTGACTGCTCTGTGTAATACCAGTTATGGTTTATACTTATGATTTCGTAGAATTATGATATGAAAAGTTCCCTGTTATTTGAAATATTTCTCAAGTGCTAAGTACCTCAAAGGGTGAATGTGAGACAAAACCATTATCAAACATGCATAAAAGGATGCTACTGCCTGAGGATTTGCTTTCTTGGCTTTCCATAGCATAATTTCTTTTCACTACTGCAAAGTCAAAAATGCTGTAGCTGCATAATAAAGGTGCTACAAACTCATTCTGCTGGTTCAGGTCTATTCAAAACGTTCTCTCTGCACAAAATTTAATGTTTTGTTGGAAGAGGCATCGTGTGTTCCCTGCAACGGGCATAAAACCATAAAATCAGTATAAATTCTGCACTTTTTCCTTCACTGAGTTCAACAATCATAAACCTGCTCCAAGCAAGATGAGAACTGCTGTTTGTGATATTCACAATGGGGAACCATGGCATGAGTGGCAACTGAGCTTGTCAAATAAATAATTGCTTTCAAACAATAGTTAGGATTTCCATTTCTCCAATAGGGATTCAGTAGAACTCATGACAATCACAAATGTTAAATATCAACTTGAAGAGTCTGACTAGAAAACAAGCATTTTGCCCATCTCCATTTCTGAATGTTCATACTCAAATACAAGGAGCATTGCTTTTCAGGGGGTTGATGTTCAGTCTACAGATCACAGTTCTAAGATGTCTCAAGCTGAATCCTCCACATCACAGAGTAAAACAACTCTGTTTTGTCTCATAAATGGCAAACAGTACATATATATGAACTCAAGAAATAAAGGAAGTTTTACTCGTTGGACAGGTTATTCCAAGGATACAATTTTGTTTGTAACTAAAATGTCTTTATGGCCTTGACTTACTGCTCTTACATATAAAGCTAAACTCTGATCTCTGTTATACCAGGTTCAATCAAAATCACTCCAAGTTCTGTACCTTTGTCAATCAATGTATTATCAACGTGTTAAAGTCAAGTACAAACAAAATCTGAATGAGTTCTTTGAATTTGAGATAGACAAAAACAAACAAAAACATATACACACACAAAAAAAAAAAAAGAAAAAAGAAAAATAAAAAGAAAAAAAAAAACAGGTGTATAGTTTAAAAAGTAAAGTGTTGATGTATGAGATGACTTTTTCAAAAAGGTGTTTGGATGTTTCAGGAGGAAAAACTTCCAAAGATAATGATGGATACAGACGGGAAACACAGAAGGTTCTGGATAACTTAATTGCCTCTTTTTTTGGCCAACTAACTCTGTCAGGTTTGCATAGACCTGGCAATCTGAAAAAACTCTAGTCCCCTACAAAAATCTCCTCACATAAAGGTGTGAGGAGAAAAGATCACAATCACAGAATCACAGAATGTCTGAGGTTGGAAGGAACCTCTGGAAGACAATCTGTCCAACTTCCCTGCTCAAGTGGGGCCACCTATAGCAGGTTGCCTAGGACCATGTCCAGATGAGTTTTGAAGATCTTCAAAGAGGGAGACTCCTTGTGGGCAACCTGTGCCCATGCTCCATCACCATGCACAGTAAAGACGTGCTTTCAGACAGAGCCTCTTGCATTCCAGTTTTTGCCCATTGCCTCTTCTCCTGGCACTGGGTGCCACTGAAAGGAGTCTGACTCCATCCTCTGCACTCTCCATTCAGGTAGTTATATACATTGATAAGATCCTCTCTGAGACTCCTCTAGGCTGAAGTCCCAGATCTCTTGGCCTTTCCTTATGACAGAGGTGTTCCAACCCCTTAAACATTTTTGTGGTACTTGATGAGATGAGGTATGCTAATCTGAGGATTAGCAGTCTGAACACATTATCAATGTAGATCAAAACTAGGCTTGTCCCCTTAATCCCACATTTCCTGTCTTTCAAAGTGGAAACCTGAACCCTGTGCTTCAGTGTTTGTTTTTTTTTTTGGTGCAAGCTGTCAGTATGTCCTGGTGGTCCAGGATTGCTCAACGGTGTTGCCAAAAGGCAAGCTCTTTCTCAGTGTCTGATAGAGCCAGGCTTGAGCAGGACTAAATGTGCTACACTTTGCTCTATTCAGTAGATACCCTGAGCAGAGCTTTTCCCAAGCAGAGGGGAGGTTCTCTCAGCCTGAATTACAGCCAAGAATGTGGCCAAAAATATAGGTCAGAGGGGTTTGTGTGCTTAACTCAGCTTTCAGGTCCCTTTTTCCCCTTGCAACAGAGATCAGTATGGCATGAGCTCTCCTCTTTTGTTAGTGTCAGGCCATAAAGACAGGGGTAAATTGACCTGTCATAGGCATGGTTAAGAAAGGTCACAGGTTCAGGTAGGACATCCTCTGACCTTAGTTCCAGGTAGGCCCAGTCTGAGCCATGCTCTTGATCGCTAACACAAATGTTTAGCCATTTATTACTTTCATTGCAAAGTGGAGGAAATCGCACATCAGAAGGCAGTGAGAATTTCCCACAGAAAACTTGGATTCAGTTTTTGTTGCTGCTTGTCACTTCCTGACTGCATTGAAAGCACCATTTATTGTTATCTTGCCTGGGTGTCCATGAAAATGATTTGATTCAGGGCCAGCAGTAACCCAGCTCTTTCCCATCTAGCTTTACTTGCCAGAGTCTTAAACTCTAAAGGGCCCAACTGCAGAAATAATCTTGTTAACTCTGAGCTTTCATAAATTACAAATCAGGGTCCTTAAAATTGTGAGACATGCCTAAAAATAAATAAATAAATAGGTAGATAAATAAATTATGTCTTATGATAGTAATATTGATCTATTTTGTGTCTTCTCTTTTGTAAGACTGAGGAATGCACTTGTTTGATATTTTAAAGCTTTTCTCTGCAGCTATGCAAATTGGAAAGAAAGAACATTAAGAGTCTTTTTATACACACATTCCAGCATTTGGAAGATCATATTAAAAATAAATAAATAAATAAACAAATAAACCTTAATAAGAATATCTTGTATAATATAAATTAAAGGACATTTTTCAGTTCCCCTATCTTCTGTAAGGAATTATGTTGCAAATACTCCTTAAAATCACATAATTTAAAAACTAATTAATTTTGTTAAATGAAATTATGCTGAAAAATCTTACTTGCAAGGAGTATCATCGAGACTAATGTTTCCATAAGATAGAGAGAAAACAGTGAGCTGGATAACAATGTTGCTGCTGAAACAATCTGAAGAAAACCTACAAGCCAGTTACTAACCACTAGAGGTTTAGAAAGCATGTCTCTATGAGCAGATTGTTCTCCATTAGTTGTCAGAGATTTCTTTCATTAGTTTGGGCAAGATAGAGAACTAGTTTTGTAGTGATGCCAGAACCCACCATAGCAACTGTAAATGCCCCAAACAAAAAGTTATATATCAGGAAGATATGGGTTGAAACACTGGATCCAAATCATTCGTGGATTAAGAAAAAAGTTAGATACACTTGTTCACTTCCAGCTGCTTGCAACCTCTGTTATCTGCCAGAGCAGTGTCCAAATGCAACCATCAATGACCCTGAAGAAATTCAACAGCTAAGCCTGACTTTTCCTTAAAGCCCCAGGACCATTTTTCTTAGGTGTGTCTCAAACAACCAATCATTTTAATCAAAGAACATGACCACCCTTGGTTGATTTACAGCAGAATATTCTTCAATCACACACTAGTGAAAAAAACTCACACAAAAAATTCCTAAACATCAAAACCAGTGAAATTGCCCTTTCTTCATACTTTTTCCTTCACCTCTGTCTTTGTTGTAAAATGTTTTTCATAGAAAGAAGCTGTGTGTATTTATAGTTTCCTGTACAAAGAGAAATCTGACTCATACCTAAAGTAATGGCTCCTTCTTCAATGTAGTATGTTGTTGTGGTTATTGGGTTGGCTTCAGAAAGGCAGACTGAGAAAAAGCCACCAAAGATGAAGACAAATGAACTGACTAGCTAATTCAGTGTCACGGTCAGCTTTTCGGTCTCTTGGTCTCATTACAGCTGGTTGTTTAAAAGTCCATCAAGACGGAAATAGAAAACACTCAACTCTTTTTAAAGGTATATCCTTGCTGCTGTAACCCCATAAATGCAGTATTGAGCACGTCTGAGAGTTGTAACTGGAGATGTAAGTTGCTTAATCAGAGGCAAAGAGGTCCTGATACTCTGTCCAATATAAAGAACTTTTTTTTTTTTTTTTTAAGCTCAGTTGTTCAGATGGAGTGATTAATTTATCTGCAGAGATCCAAAACTTGATGGCCCATTTTTAACAGGGAGAATGGAAAATACTTTCTATTCTCCATATATATCGTAGATAGGGAGAATGTTTTAAAAATATTGCGAAGGGGTATGTATGCATGTTTAAATGTGAGTTGCATGTGCCAGTTGTGTGTGTGTGTGTATGTGTGTCAGCTACTGCCCTCTGCTGCACAGAATTGGATCTTCCAAGCAGCTCAAAAAACAGAAACCTTAGATGAAGAACAATGCACTCAAGCTTTTGAATCTGGAGAAATTATTTCCCTCCTGACAGTGAGATGTTCAGAGAGTCACCATACTTTGCTCTAAGCCTGTCATGAAACTTGTAGAAGGTCTCAGTTTTCTTGCAATGAATCCTGGAAATTGCAGCAGTTCATGCTGCAGCAATGTCTTTGGAAAGTCAGGACAAATCTATTAAGCTTACTAGGTTCCTCATTCTCTACCCCAAGTTGAGAAGGAGAAGTAGGTTCTACCAGCCCTTGTGCTCAGCCATTGCCTGAGTATGGGCTTGGTCACTTCTCCATGCAGCAAGGAAGAGCAAGATATGAACATCACTTCTCTTGAGAGAAGGCAGTAGGAAATATTTGTCATCTTCAAAAAGTAACTTGAATGGCTCAGCATATGCATGTCTGAGGAAATTAAATAATCTGGGAAATCTGCAAGTCTTAATGTGCATATTAAGACTTGGAAAATACATATCTTGTATTAAATTTGTGTGATTGTCAGTAGCTGAGGATAAGAAGCATTGTTTAGACTGTTCAGAGAACTGTGGTAAAGGGGAAAAAATACTGGAAGTATTTTTAAACTGACCTGACCCTTTTCTGATTCAGATTTAGGGGCTCCACCTACTGCTAAGGTGAAAGTGTGGATGGCTTCAGTACAGGGAAGTTTCAGCTTTGTCTGAAAAGAGCCGAACACTCCCCAGCCAGCAGACTACTCTCCAGACTCCAAGCAAGCAGAAGACCTCACAGTCTGCTCTCCGCTGCTCCTTCATATGTTTGCAAGAGATTACAGCCCTCACAGGTCATTGTGGTTTAACCCGGCAGGCAGCTAAACACCACACAGCCATTCACTCACTCATCTCACCCCACCCCCAGTAGGATGGGGAAAAATCAGGGAAAGAAAAAAACAAAAACAAAAACAAAAACAAAAAGTTAAACTCTTGAGTTGAAAGATAAAGATAGTCTAACAGGGAAAATAACGTTAATAATTATGATAAAATCACAAATAAAATAAATGACATACAATGCAGTTGCTCACAACCCACTATTAATTATTATAAAGTAATAGTATTAATTAATTAATTAATAATCTCACGGTGCCCCATGGTGTGGTATGTCCCTTTGGTCATGCTGGACCAGCTGTCCTGGCTGTGTCCCCTCCAGCTCCTGGTGTACCCCCAGCTCCCTGACAGACGTTTTTGAATCTCTATTATTTCCATAAAGACTTAAAATTGTATGTGTGTTTGTGGAAGTGTGCATATAGATTACGAATATGTACACAAGTCACATGCCTGGACAAAGAAGGGACTATGGAAAATGAATAAGAAGAAATTGAGTTGCTCATAGCTACACTTTGTCAAAACTTCCAAATTAGAATACTCTTTCTCATAGGAAATTGTTATTTAAGACTTTCCAGATAGAAATCTCACATATTTATCTTGTGTGTGATTTTCTTCCTTCCACCTGCTCTTCTTTCAAATTACTTATAACCACAGCATGTGGAATTGTGAATTGATTCAAACTGTCTTAACGTGGTCTGGTGATAAGAATAAGAAATCATGGTACAAAGGAATATTTTCTTATATGTTTTACACTATGTGGTTAAAACAGACATGGACAGTCAAATACAGTGGGAAAAACGAACAAAACAAACAAACAAAAAAGTGTCATGGTTGTATGAACATTTTGAATTACTGATTACAAAGACAGTACAGAACTCTACTTAAAAGCCAAGGTTAACCAGAACCTTACAAGTGGCCGATCATTGGTTTTAAAGGATTGAGCATATTTGGTTAATTACATTTCTGCAGTTGCAAAGTCACCAGTTATCCCTTCTATTCTTCATATCTCCCCTTCATTATTTTTCCTATCTTATCAAGCATTCTACTATAACCATGAAAGTAGCCAGCCATAGCTACAGCCTCAAAAGTCACTTTCAGAACCTACCCAAACAATTTAAGAAAAACAGAACATGCCTTTTTCATACTTGGAAGCCTGGGCTGAAATGACCACAGTATAAATATGATCACCAAAATGTGAGTAGACATGGTAGATTTTAGTTACTCAGAGACATCTGTGTCCAGGACTTCAAAACCTTCTGCACCTTTTTCTTGAATGTCTGGTATCTGAGAAAGCTCGTGGGCAAAATGAGCCTTTTCTTTTTGCTGTCATTCCATCCTTTGCCAGAGACAGTTACGCTCACTTAGTGACCACGGGGAAGACATTCTTGCATTAGCACTGTAAGCAGAAAGTGTCTGTTCTGTCCCAGCTTGAGTTTAAGGGACACATAAAATATGAAGGAAGCTTGTCAGCTTGGATTAACTTTGCAGACAGCTCTTCTTCATCTGTGTTGCAAAGGAAGAAACAAGCCTGGAAAAAGAACATTTCTGTAAATGTGTCACAGGCTTGGCTGTGTGTGATCAACATTAAACTACTATTGTTTGTTGGCTACTGAAAGTGACAAAACAAAAGTGAGAAAAGATATTTCATTAAGTTCAAGTTGCTAAGTGCAGCTCAAGGGGAGATAGGTCCCTACAGATATTCACTTCAAACGTACAGATTTAAAAAAAAAAAAAAAAAAAAAAAAAAAAAAAAAGACTTAAAATAACAAACAGATTATATAAGCAAATTTCAACATCCAGCTCACAGCTCAAAGAACATGTTCTTGATGGTAGCAGCTCAAATAAATCACTTCCACTAAGAGGTAGAAGTAGTTTAGAGTCTAAATCTCTCCTCTGACTTAAGAGAAGCTAGTGAGCATATTGGTTTTGCTTGTTTGTTTTGTTTTTCTTTTGTTTTGTATTTCAAATAATTGTGGACTTGTTGCTATTGTAAGTTTTGTTTTATGTTTCTGGAAGAATTAAATTGTGAGGATGAGCACTATCTCTACATGGAAATCTATCCAGGAGACTGGAACTCTAATCATCTACAAAGGTAATAAAACCTGTATAGAAAAACAGGAGAGATGATACTGGGGTTGCTTTGTGACATTCCTTTCATAGGCTGTGTGTAGCTCTGTGAAATCTCACTGTGTAGGTGAGGTCTTACTCAGTTTTAGGACAGTCATGGGAAGCATTAAGTACACTGATTATTTGTAATTATGAAGATATTTAAAGGGCAGAGATAAGGGAACTGTTTTAATGTTAGTGAATTGTACAATCACTTGGTTTTCATTTTCTCTTCAGCTACATTTGGCATCTTACCTCTGCCTTTAGGAACTCTTTCCCTTTTGTGTCAGTGAGTCCCTGATTTAACACAAACATTGAAGTATCACTATTTCATATGTAAAGAACTGTATTCATCTAGCTTTCTACTTACTGACTATTTTTCGTGCTTTGAGAATATAAGTAAAAAACATCCTCTGCTGAGCATTCTTTATAAAAGGCACTTCTCACCTTATTGGTTATTTGTCTTCGAATCCACTATATTTCTTCTGCATATAATATCCCTTCCCAGTAATAATAAACCTCTTAGAATTCTATCCTGCATTCAAGTTCAATATTTGTGTGTTTTCAATGAGATTTAACATCATTCAAGATTGCATTGTGTATCACGTAACTATTTGTTCCTCTGGAAATCAACATAAAGTTACCATGCTGAGTCTGTAGCATTACACAAATGCATCAAAATAGTTCAAAGTGACCACACACAGTGCAGTGAAGCAACAGAGGTAGCCAAGTATTCAAAGCCTTTCACTATTTCCTAGTAATATGCTGGGACACAAGCTTCTATTGTCTAAAAAGGAATTGTGTCACCTATTGAATGAAATGATAGTTTGCATTTATTTATTGCTTGTCATACAGAATTAGAGAGTATATTAATCTGCCTGTTGATGTAATTTTGGTATTCTTTTGCGTACCACTGAAATGCAGACACCTCTGGGGAGATGCGTGGCAGCTGTGAATAGCTTAGGGCCTTGCAACACTGTGGGAACCAAAAGCAGAACTGTGATTTAGTGGCAACCTGGATTTTTTAACAGTTACTGCTCAATGAATTCTTTGAAACGGTGACTTTACTGCCAGTTGTAGCAGCTGCTGGACTCTCACACTCCCATAAGGAGAAAATCAGAAATACCTAATTCCTAGTTGATGTTTTGTTGTTGTTGCTGCTTCTATAAAACAGCTGGCTAATTTTTGTTGTTGTTGTTTATGGAATTACAGACATAATAGCAGTAAAATACTTAGGAAAATAAACTCTTCTGAGCTACTAAGTGGACCCACATTTCATGGATACTTATTGTGTTTGCTACCTGCCAGCATTCTTATGCAATTAGTCTTCTGTTTCTCTTCTGCTGCAAGTGTTCATCTTGTTTCCGTAAAGCTAGATTCTGCTAATTTCTCATAATAACTCATTTACTTCTTGTTCAGTTCACTATGGTTGTTGTTAACATTCACAAACTGCTCTAACTGCTAGTTATATATACGGTGATCAAAGCCAATTGTACAACATTATTTTCACTGGAAAATTGTTTAAAGCAAAAACATCAGAATTTGATCCTTTGTAATATAAAGTGCCAACAAGCATAATGTGTGTCATGTTATATACCATAATAATAGTCAAGTATAGCAATTTGACCTACCTGTTGAAAAAGACGTGCATCCAAATGGCTAGCTGGACCCACCAAAGACCACTTCTGGATGTTCTGCCATGGGGTTGAGTCCAAAAACTTGCTGAAGGTGACTGTGGTCACTTATTCAATGCCTAGGAAAGGTGGTGAAAAGGAAAAAGATTTCAAAAAGCTAATATGCCAAGGGGAGAGCCACCTGAACGGACATATGATTAATTTTAAAATATCCAATGAGTTTTTAAATATTCGTAGGAAAGGTGAAGAAATTTCAATGAGAATACCATTTTCCACAGGACTCTACAGCTCATCATCAATTTGCACTCCGGAGCTACAGAGAGCACAGAAATTACCAAGCTGTGAGTCCGCCTTCCCTCAAATTTAATTGAGGTCTAACTCTTCATCAGAATACATTTCAGTACAGTCTCATTCTCTGTACAGTCTCATTACTGTTAGAGATAATTGAATTGGTCTACATTTTAAATAATAATAATAATAATAAAGTAAAAAATCAGAAAATAGAATCTAAGACTTCAATCTGTGGGCAATTAATTAATAGCCTGCAGCATATTAAAATATTCAGAAAAGTACATTTCTACATCTATAAGGAAAGGAGCCAAAACTATATGAATATTATGGGTGAGAAAATCAAGATATTTTAGTTGGAATGTCTCACATAGGAAAAATTTTAAATATCATAAACAATACTAAATCCTAGAAATACTTCATAAATCTCATTTCTGTTGCTTCATAGGAATAGTCTATATTAAACATTTTTCCTAATTTTGTTTTTGCATTTAGTGATTTTCAACATTGTATTGCTATAGACAAAATGTCTGGAATTGAAACAAGGATTAAAAAAAAATAATTCTTATAAAAATTTTTAATCAATTCCAATATCCAGCGAGAAACTAAATTAAGATGAGCCTCAGCTGATGCCTTTCAATTTACATTGGTTCTAGTAGCTGATCAGAGTAGCTCAATCTAAGCTCCAGTCAATTAGATTTGAAGTCAGTTCATCCTCCGGTAAGGGAAGAAATCACTCCTGGCCAATTTAAAAGACAGAATGTTGCCACAAGTAGTCACTGTCTAATGCAAATCAAATAATACTTATTGCTCAAATGTGCTGTATAAAATCCATATACAAGATTCACTCCATAAACAGTGTTTTTTTCATACAGTCTCAATATGTGACATATAAGCACATCAGAAAGCACAGAAAGACTGTACAGAAAACTTTGGAGCAGTAGATTATTACCATTAAAAGCTCTGGTCAATTTTAACATCTTTTTACCTGACAATTTTCTGGCACAGTTAAGCTTTTTTTTTTTTTTTAATAAAAAGGAGAGGAGGGCTTTTGGATATGTTAGTTCAGTTTGGCTGTAAAATGCACGTAAAATTAATTTTACAATCAGTGCCAGCATCAGAAGGCTGCCCCAGGACTGCTGTCCTTCCAGAAAGATAAATTTCTTCAGCAGTGGAGCTTACCAAGGTATCTGAATGGAGTTTGCAGCTTCATAGTCTCCTGTAGGTACAGTGGGTTCTGTAGTAGAAAATGATGTATTTGGATAAAATACAGTCCTAAAATACTCTTTGGACAAAAAACAGAGTTCAGGGGAAATTGCTTATCTAATGCATTTCACTGTGCCTTTCTCCACAGTGTAACGAAAAGTACATTTGGCTTTTTGTATTTCAAAGCAGTATTTAAATCAAAGGATGGGAAGAAAGAACCACAAATGGCTACTCAGCATTTTTGTTCTGTTTAATGGAGGAGGTAACTTTGCCAATTTTGTTTGTGTATTTTAAAACAATGGCTATCAAACACTAAACTTTAATTTCCTATGTCTTCCTTTTATTCTTCACAAACCTACTTTTGCACTGAGCTTTAAAAAATATTGAGGAAATTCTGTGAAAGATTCCCATGGCTTCTTTCCTTATTAAATAGTGTATAATTCTTCATGGATAGCTGATACCTTCCAGAGATTACCTTTGGGGAGATAAAGTTGTTACTGGAGTAGCAAAAGGGAGGTAGGAAATTTATAAGAGGAAGAAACTGACTAGGCTGCCTACTCAGATTTTTAATTTCTCCACAGTCCTTGTCATATAATATATAACCATTGAAAGATATCCTGCTCCCACTGAACTCAGTGGGAGTTTAACAGTAATTACCACAGGGCTAACATTTGTCTAAAGAATTTTGGAGTGGATCTAAGCCTCCTCACTTCAGGATACAGCACAACCTCTAACTAGTAAGGCTATGAAGGGAATTTTCCCTGTGGGTAGGTGACTTAGGGTATGGTAGAACTCCAAACTCTGTGTCCTGGTGCAGAGTCACACAAAGAGATTGACTCCAGTTGTAACAGGATTACAGAAACCTACACCAGTTCTCCAACTTAACAGTCTTCCCAGGACCAATTCATATCTTCCCAGTCCCTGAGAGATACAAGGTAAAGAAATACATAAAGAGATACAAGCCTAGTTCAAGTCTGACCCTGGAATTTTGGAACATGCCATGCCATTATCCCATCAAGGATATGATGATGACATTTGGTCTAGGATTTCATACACTTTACCCTCATCTATCTAGCACCTTCTGATGATAATAGTCTAGAGTATATGGACCACTAGTTTGGCTTCATACCATTCTCATAAATGTTTAATCAGTGTCATATATGAGGTGCAGGAATCATTTCTTAGCCTGTGACACCAACAACACAGAGCTATGGATATGTTAATTCAGTTTTAGTTAGTTCAGCACACTGTCTGTGCTGGGATTCCATATTTTACCATTCTGTATCTGTATCTGTATGTTCAGATATACAATCTGAATTCTGTATCAGATTTGCAAGTTTTTATGTAACCAGCTGTCACCACAGCTCAATCTCTAGCTCTGTAACATTTTCCTTCTGCTAAGTACAGGGGCTGGAGGGTTTTTTGATTTATTTTTTTTTTTTTCCTGTTTGACTTTCCTCATGTCCAGGATGGATTTCAACTATGTGTTCCCAGCCCACATATCTGACAACTCGAGGTCCTTCTCTGTTACTCCCCTATCCTCCCTGGTGCTTGCAGCACCCTTTAGCCGTACCTTCAGACTTAACAAATGTGATACATACATAAACAGAAACATGAACATAAACATACTTAAACAAACACACACACAAAAAAAAAAAAAAAAAAAAAAAAAAAAAAAAAAAAAAACATAAATTTATGTACATACATGAACATAAACACGTTGAATAACTCTGGGCCAAATCCCTTCCTTACAGCACTTCCCCACAGTATGAGGTGCTGCTGCTTAAACTGTACAATAGTGAGTTCTCCCTTCCATAATATATCCTAGTGCTGAGGATGTGCCACAGTGTAAAATCATAGATAACAGCAGATTAGATTATTCTGATGTATGGTGTTTAGTTAATTTGCATTTCAGAAGGTTCCTTGTACTTCTGAAGCCTGAAATGCAGGTGTACAATATCCTAGTAGACAGGGAAATCATATTAATGGGTTTGGCAAAGCTTGGGAATTACAGATTGAGCCAACTGTTTGACTTTGGGAGAATGCCTAATGTTTTATTAGCACTGCTGCTTCTTTTCAAGAGAAGTCAGTGGTCATTTGGGAGGTCTAATGAGAAATGTTTCATCAACAGAGTACTGGTGTTTCCAAGAAGGGAAATTAAAATCATTCTGTACCCCCAAAAGTGTTTTGTTTACAAGTATATCTCATGTTATTCTAAGCTGTATATTCAGTCTTAAAAGGCAGTATGAGGATACTGCCAGTGTAATGGCATCCCTTTCCTCCCTAGGCACTTCACCAATGTGTAAAGCTAAGTAGCTGTTCCAAATAGTTGACTTTACCTGGGATTTCTCAGTAAGGTCAACCTCTTGACAGATAACTATTTTCTGAATGCAGCCTAACAGAGAAACTTAATGACCTCTATTTACTTCAAGTAGAAATCCATCAAAGGGACAATTAGCTAATTTTAACCAGAAATTGGCTCCCTGGTGAGAAGCAAGCTTATAAATAAACCATTTCATTTGTTCACTGAACTAGACTGTCATGCAAGTGAAATTGCTGACTCCAAAGCAGACAAGTGATTTGAAATGTTTACATGAATGACTTCAAATCGGCAAAGTTTTCTTGCCTTAGATGCCCTGAGAGAATGACTTAGGAGCAGAAACCACAGGAAGTGGCTTCTTTTACTACTGCTGCTTTGCAGGCAGGTGGCAGCCAGGCAGGGTCCTCCTGTACCTACACTATCCACTGGAGCAAAGCAGCCCAAGGTCCCACAGACTGCTGTTAGCTCGCAGTGAGTTGGAGAGGCAGATACAGCTCATCAGTTTCCCAACTTGCACATAAGTAGCTTATACTTTAACATCACACGTGAAAGGAAGAGCAGGTTTATACTCCCAATTAGGCTCTGAATAAATACCTTTTGCAAGAAAGCTGTATTGACTGCATGCTGGTTTTCTGTTTAAGGTTCCGTATTGCCACAGCACTTTTAATTGTCACAGCAATTATTTCTCCAGTACAAAACAGTTGCCCAAAAGAACGGAAATGGTAGTTTCTGTAGGGTCACTGTGTCTCAGTTTCCTAAGTGATATGTTTGTTGGAACATATGTTTCAAGAACAGCAAAGCAGGGAAGAAAGGTCTATATCTGAGGAAGCTGCCTTATGACATACATTGGGGGCTTTCATTTTCTTGCACACCCCCAATACAAGAAGGACATGGACATATTAGAGGAGGATAAGAGGGCTGGAGCATCTTTCCTATGAAGACAGGCTGAGGGAGTTGGGGTTGTTCAGACTGGAGAAGTGAAGGCTCCAGGTAGACCTCATTGCAGCAGCCTTCCAGTACTTAAAGGGGCCACAGGAAATCTGGGGAGGGACGCTTTGTCAGGGGGTGTAGCGACAGGCCAAGGGGAATGGTTGTAAACTAATAGGAAATAGATTTAGATTGGATATAAGGAAGAAATTCTTTACTCTGAGGGTGGTGGGATAGGTTGCCCAGAGAAGCTGTGGATGCCCCATCTCTGAAGGTGTTCAAAATCAGGGCTTTGAGCAACATGGTCTGGTAGGAGACGTCCCCTGGCAGGGGGGTTGGAATTGAATGGTATTTAAGGTCCCTTCCAACCCAAACCAT